ACAGACAAAAGAGAAAAAAATTAATATTGAATATCTTATACTACTTAAAAATAAAAAACACTTTTTTTTCTTAAGATGGGAAAAATTATAAAAGAATCAATAAACTGATATTTCTTGAGAAAGCTCACAAGCAGAATTAGGTAATTTGCTGGTTTCCATGGTACCACATGTGTAAGGCATTTTTTTGTTTTACTGGCTGTACCAGTCATACTCAGAGATTTAAAAATACAATATAGAGCATTTGGGTTTCCAGAAGAAAAGTACTGTTTTTCCTGTTATATGATGGATAGCTCCTTTCCTCTGCCACCCAAGTCTTCCATATTCACTTTTTTTTTCTTGTTAATCCTCACCCAAGGGTATTTTTCCATGGATTTTTAGAGTAAGTGGAAGGGAGGGATGGAGAGAAAAAGAGAGAGAAACATCCATGTGAGAGAGACACATCAATTGGTTGCCTCCTGCCTGCCCCCTACTGGGGATCGAGCCTGAAACCTGGGCATGTGCCCTGCCCAGGAACTGAACCATGACCTCTCAGTCCATGAGTCAAGGTTCAATCCACTATAGCAGGGCTATAGTGATTATTATAACAGGTAATGCATTTCTAGATCCTACTTTCTGAGCTCTAACTTCCTGTATCCAAGCATCTCCTTGACATATCTGCCTAGATGCCCTATAGCATCCCAAAATCCACATGTTTAATGCCAAACTCATCACTTTCTCCAAGCCAGCACCTGATTTGGTTAATTCAATAATATAAACTCTGCTCAAGATAGAACTATTGAAATTATCCTTTACTCTTCATTCTGCTTCACATCTCTTACCCAGTAAATCACATATTCTGTCATTCAGTCTTTAAAATGTCTCTCAAATCTGTCTTGTTTTCCAAAACACACATCATCATCTCTCACACATTACAACCTCCTCTTGAAAGAATTCTCCAAGAAAATTCATTGACATTAAAATAAAGTTGAAATTGCTTATATTTCTCAAATGTCATCCCTCTGGTAAATTCTTCACATCTCCTAGTCAAAGGCAAAAGCTCCATCTTCTCTCTCCACACTTGGTCCATAGCACTATCATTTTGAGTATATTATAGTGAAATGACTTCTCACCTATTTACTGGCTTGGACCTCCTCCTGTGTATTAATTGTTTTTGTATTTCAAGTGTTCTTAATTATCCTTGGCTTATTGTAGGCAATCAAAATGCTTAGCTAACTAATAACAATTTATGATCTAAATGTTGAAGATTTAAAAACATAACTAGAAAATTCCTAGGTGTAGAAGGAGAAATAAGCCTATTTCAAAACATAAATCCATGGTGATTTTTACTCACTTATTAAAGGATTAAGCATCTAAGATTTATATTGGTATTTTATTCATGTTTAACCTTTAGAGGAATTAGGTTGGCTTCCATGGTAATTAAAAAAGCAAATGCTATTCTTTAGGTAATTACAGAGGATGAGAAAGCCCTTCCACATCATGCCTGTGTGTCACCCTCTGGCAACACCACACTGTGCCATCGACTGTCGCTGAAGCCATGATAAATTACCTTTTGAAATCAATATTGAGTCCTATTCGTTACTTTTGTAGGATCCATGCTTTATATCAAAAGACAAATGTCAAGATAAATTTAAACAAGAACACACAACTCACAATCCATATATGAGTATGATTTATTTGATTATTTTTGAATTCAGAAAGGCACCAATTATGAATTATTAACTTTTTAATACTTAGAAATTATAATTTTATTTGGCATAAATCATATGTGTGATCTATAACAAAAGGTCTGGAATGTAAAGTTACTTGGATAAGATAATGGGCTGTATTACATGAATAAATATTTATAGTATATGTATATATTTATTGTATTTATTTAATTAGATAACATAAAATATGTGATAGTTTTATGGTATTGTGTATCCAATTCTAATATCTATTGAAAGAATAAGAAAGTATTTATGATATTTCTGGCCTATTGAAATGTTTTAGTATTGATGTAATTCGTATACATTAAAAATGTTTTTGTATAATATCAATACTATTTGTGCTTTATCATTTTATAAAGTGTTTTCATATTTCATATCATTTTAAAATAGTTAATGGATTTATACCTAAGTGGGACTTGTTATTCAAAGTCCAGTGTCATTTGCATAATATCACAATACTAGGAGGCACAGAGTGTGCTGGACACTTGATATACTGTGATAATATCACTATTATTCTTATGAAACAAATATTCTAAAAACCTTAACTCTTCACAAATTAAATTTTATGCTCCATTTGTACACATTAATTTATCAATGTAGTCTCAGAATTTAATTATCTTAGTTGTATGATTTCTTGTCTAAATTATTCTGAGCTATTCTTTTTTTTTTTAAGTAAAAACAAAATTTTGAAAATGCAGGTAAGGGCCTACTTTGAAGACTTTACCCATTAGGCTGTCAGCTGATTTCTCAAAAGAAACTTTGCAGGCCAGAAGGGAGTGGCAAGAAATATTCAGAGTGATGAAAACCAAGAACCTACAACCAAAATTACTCTATCCTGCAAAGCTGTCATTTAGAATCGATGGACATATAAAAACTTTCCCAGACAAGAAAAAGTTAAAGGAGTTCATCACTACCAAACCGTTATTATATGAAATGATGAAGGGTCTTTTTGAAGAAAAAGATAAAATGTATGAACAAACAAAATGGCAATGAATACATATCTACCAACAATGGAATCTACAAACAAAATGAACAGGAAGAACAGAAACATTCTCATAGATACAGAGAACATTTTGTTGGTTGCCAGTTGGGAAGGGGGTTGGGGGAATGGGTGAAAAAGGTGAAGGGATTAAGAAGCACAAATTCATTGCTAGACTGACAAACCTCAAAGGGAAAGGGGTTGGGGGGGTGGGAAGAAATAAACCAAAGAACTTATATGCATAACCAATGGACACAGACAATAGTGTGGGAAAAGGTGGGAGGGGGGCAGGCGTGGGGAGGAGGGGGTCAATGGGGGAAAAATGTGGAACATCTGTAACACATTTTACATCCAACAATAAAGATTTTAAAAAAAAAGAAATAGCATTTTTTTTTTTTTTTTTGGAGGTAAGTTTTAGATTTTTTTCTATTTTACTTTTTTATTGAATTTATTCAGGTGTCATTGGTTAACAAGATCATACAGGATTCAAGTGCACATTTCTATGATACATGATCTGTATAGAACTATCATTTTTAATGTGTTAATAATTATACTCAATTATATACATATTACATTTCTAGAGAAAATCTATACATCATCTTTTCATCCTCAGAGAATTCTAGTAAGCAAAACCATTATGACTATACTCCTTTTTGATGTGGAAAATAAAATAAATATCTACTAAATAATATATCAAGTTGGTAGTCAAGATAGACATGAAATCCATGTTCCATATTTCCCAATACATGCTCTGTTCTACCCCTCTATGTTTATACGTTTATTTTGCTCTTGATCAAAGAAAATGAAATATCTATTAAATATATTTTTTTATGGTTCCACACGTTCTGCTATTGGTGAAATAAGAGTAAACTTCTGAAGCACAATATTTTCCCTTCACCTTTGCAACATGAGTGATTCCCAAAGGTAATGTGATGACCTTTGAAATAGAGTCAACTTTAGAAAATTAAAAGTGGACACAAAACAATGTCCCTGAACTCTTGCTTCTGCACCTAAGCAGGTTTTATTTTTTTCATAGACATAGAATTCTCCCAACATCCATTTAATGGAAGTATATAAAGATATGTAGACATACAAATCTAAATATTATAGATATATGTACTCATTCTACCTATCAATCGGTCTACCTATCTGTCTTTCTATCTATAATCTCTCCATGTATCAGGAATACAGATACATTTTGAACACTAAAATGTTAATATTTTGGAGCCACTTTTATCTTGCTATAATCCAAATATTAATGAACAATCAAAGGATGGATATGTTAAAAACTAAATTAAAAACCTGATGAATGCAGTTCAGATGCAGATATTCTCAGGTTTGGAGAAATTTAAGTAAAATATGATCCAAACCCCTCTTATTACAAACTTTCAGAAAAAAAATAAATGTACACAGCTTTTACATGTTAGGGGTAGACCTAGAGCACGAGCCTGTGTATTTTGAGCTCATTCTGTTGTCCCTCTTTGAGTTCAGTTCATTACATCGTATTTTCTCTTTCTAAAGAAGGAAAACAGCTCTGTAAAATCTCAGTAAGAAGGTTTAAAAATGAGCCATCAATAAAGTAAGCATATATTAATATGGGGTATTTTACATGTTCTAAAATGTCAATATTCTCTACAAACTTTATCCCCAAATGATAGATTATAACAGGTTAAACAAATAGTTGGTAAATGAAAGATTAAACAAAAATAGTTGATAAATGTAAAAATCCATATGATGTCAGGCATTGTATTTATTTGCTCCATACTGTAAAATTAAATTTTCTCTATACTATAAACTTTCTCCATACTATAAACCATTATACAGTAAATATTGGTATGCTAATCTTAGAGTAATTAAATTTATTTTAAACAGTCTAACTTTATTAATAAAGAAAGAAGCCTTTTTTTTAACTGCATCTAAGAATTACCTCAACCTCAGTATCTTAAATCTTCAAACAAAACTTTGAAGATACAGAAATTCAAAGATTCACTTTGTATTTCCCTTAAACTAAAATGCAGAAATATGCTTGGGAATATACCACAAATCTACTTTCAGATTAAGAAAAAAATCTAATAATGATATTAAAGTTTGATTTTAAATACAAATCTTCAGTTATTGGTCTGTATTACCTTGATCGATTTGCTTATCATCTTTATTCCTTAGTAAAATAATAGGAGACACTTGAAATCCTTTCAGTACATACTACAAATAACAAATAGTTAGCTTTCTCTTGATTGGTTATGTTCCTTCCCTCCATCTACCAACAGAAATGAACAAACTCTCCCAACCTGCTCATGAATGCTTTCCTCGCCTACCTTGGCGATGGTCTCATGAAATTTGAAAACAGGATCTGTTTCTTCAATTTCTGTTGCACCTTTAGGGAAAACGGCCTCCGAGAGAAAACTTGGACCCTGAGAAAAGCAGAATAAAAGATTTAAAACTCTTCATTGATTTTTGTTTTTCAAGTGCTTATTGGATTTTCTTTAAAGATTCAAAAGGATTCTAAATTGCTTTAAGGTTTCTGTTGCTTGTTAGACTTCATTCTACTAATATAATTAACCAATCAAAGGATATTTTTAAATTACATTGAGTAGAGATCTATCACTTTTATATTATTTTTATCTATAAAATATTTTTTTTACTCAAAAGAGATAATTCTTTGCAGTTCTTCCCCTTTTTATAAAATGTAGATTTATATATAGAACAAGATATCTTGACTATAAAACCCACATCTGACACCCCATTTCTATTTAATACATTAAATTTTATTTTACATCTGGTAGAACGGGATATTCTTAATCAACATGATTACCAACTAGAAAAGCCTAGACAAAAGTGTGCATGATATTTTAAACATTGAAAAACTTACTTCAAAAGAATAGTAAGATACATTTTTGGTAGAATAGTCTCATGGCTTTACACACTATCAATAAAGTGATAACGTGTTATATCAGAACCTTCATGTTAGATGTTTGAAATGAATCAAAGAGAAAGAGTAATTAGTCATTTTGCACTTGCAGATATAGACAAATGTCAGGATGCAAGGAGATCTGCTGTGGTATGAATATTTATGCCTCCCCCAAATTCACATGTTTAAATCCTAATTTCCAAAGTAATGAGATTACGAGATGGGGGCCTTTGGAAGGTGATTGGGGCGTGAATACTTTATCCTCATTATTGGAATTAGTACCCTCCCAAAAGAGGCCTCATGGAGCTCCCTAGCCCCTTGCCACTTGTGAGGACATAATAAGAAATCTGTGACCTGGAACAGGACCCTCACCTGGCCATGCTGGCACCATGACCTTAGCCTTCCAATCTCTAGAACTGTGAGAAATAAATTTACGTTGTTTATAAGCCACTCTGTCTGAAACAATGCTCTTAGAGTCATCAACTTCATTAGCATTCCATAACATGATTATTACTTATCACATACATATAGCTCTTACTTAAAAACCTGAAGGAGCCCTGGCCAGTCTGGCTCAGCAGTTGGAGGTTCAGTTCCCACTAAGAGCACATACCTCGGTTGCAGTTTGTCCCCGGCCCTGGTTGGGTCGTGCAGGAGGCAGCCACTCAATGTGTTCCTTTCACATCGATGTTTCTCTCTCTCTCTTCCTCTCTCTCCCTTCCACTCTGTCTGAACAAAAAATGGAAAAATGTCCTTGGGTGAGGATAAAAAATCAATCAATCAATCAATCAATTAATCAATAAAATGTTTAAAAACAAAACCTGAAGGAACCAGGATTATTTTTCTAAAAAATGAAAAAGGTGATCCTCACCAACCCATTAGAGTTTGGTGTTCTCCTGTCAGTTTTTGTATCACTTTTTATTTACTTTTAGGTATCATTTACTTTATTACATTTTTGTTATATTTCTGTTTTTCTTACTATACTATGAGCCTTTTAAGACTTGGTATCTTTTCTTATTAAAATAGTCTAATATCATCAGACAACCTTGAGTAAGTCATTAATCTCTCAGTATTATTCTCATCACCCATAAAGTTGAAATGTAAATATACGTGCCCTTCTTACTGCAGAGAGTTCACGTCCGCATCCAGCACAGAAACAAAGCTCTGTGGGGAGGAAAGGACCACAGTAATACTGGGTGGTTTTTGATTTTTATCACAGTGGTCAAGAACTGCTTTTCTAGTAACTAAGAGTTATAGTTTTAAATATTAAATTAACATAAATAAGTGTTCATATATTGAACTCTATACGATGTTTCTCTTTTAAAATCTACAACTGTTAAAACAAAGTTTGCACTCCACTGTTGTAGGTGACAGGAGGTCTTTGGGGGGTTTTAAATAGAGCAAGTGATATTTTCAAGTATGCCTTGAGGATAGTACACGCTGACACATTTGTGGAGATAAATTTTAAAAAGACGTGATGGAAGCCCGGCAGGTGTGGCTCAGTGGTTGAGCATTGACCCATGTACCAAGAGGTCACTGGTTCGATTCCCAGTCAGCACATATGCCCAGGTTGTGGGCCCTATCTCCAGTGGGTGGCATGCAGGAGGCGGCCAATCGATGTTCTTTCTCAGGGATGTTTCTATCTCTCCTCCCTTCCTCTTTCTCTAAAATCAATAAAGAAAAAAAAGTGATGGAAAACAGGAACTTTACATAGAAGGCTATTGCAGTATTACAGTGAGAAAGGGTGAGAGATTAAACCAGTACTGTGGTAGTAGAAATAGATAGGAGGAGATAAGTTTAATAGATGTTTAAGAGAGAACATTTGTAGTACTTGATGATTTACTGGATGTGAAGTCCTAAAAAGAAGTCAAGATTGATTTGATTTTATCTAGATTTAATAATCCGTATGGATATAAATTTCATTAATTTCAAAAATTTAGAAACCAATGAAGGATTAGGAAAGAAAAGAAATTAAGTTTTAAATATTTCAGATGAGGTATTTTTAGGACATCTGCTTGACGTTTTCCCAGAAGGTGAGTGACTATATTGTTTAACACCAACATGGTTCAAGACCTATGCCTGGACTGGAGATATAATAATAATTTGAGAAGCATGTACATGGTAGTTAAAATGTAAAGTGGACCACATGTAGACTTAGAATAATTTTTTGTGCAGCACAAATATCTGAATGACAACAAGATCTCTGAATGGCACTGATATTTAAGGTTGAAGAATAAAGACAAAACCTATGAAGACCTTTTAGATGAGATCATCAGAGAAAAATAAAGAGAACCATGTGAGTGTGATTTCATGGGAATGAAACAGGTAGAGAATCTCCGGGAATGAATAATCAATGCTTCAAAGGGAGTAAAGAAAAACAACAAAATGAAAATTATTCATTGGAAATTGCTTTTTAGATGTTCCTGGTGTCTTTCATCAGAGGGTTTCTATGGATTCATGAGCACAGTAGACAGAATGCAATCAGGTGAGTAGTAAATGTGAGGAGAAGAAATAAAACATCAGCTGTGAACTGCATTGTTCTCTCTAAAAATTAAGATTAGGCTGAGGGGTTAGAAAAAGTAAACACTAGCTTTAAAAGTTCAAGGATCAAGGAATGGTTTATTTGTTGTGTCTTAGACAGGATTGATGCAGATATAGTTTTAAAGTGAGAGAAAGCATCCAGAGGATAAAGACTTTTAAAATAGTAGACAATTTGGGGGAAATAAATGCATCATAGCTCAGTTACCTAACACAGAAAACAGAATTGTAAGTAGATAAACCACTGATGAGAAAGACATTGAAGTCAGGATCAGATGTAGTGGAAGAAAGTATTAGTACATATATAGAGGTGAAGAAAAAAAACAAAAAACCCTCAAAGGTCATGTTTAATTTAATTCTATACTGGATTGAGTTGACTAAAGTTCAACTCATTACCCTATCAAAATATATCTTTTATATTTTTTTAGAAGTAATCATTTAAAATATTAAGTTTATATAGGCTTAATGGTATTGTAGTAACCAAAAGCATTCTACACATGCCTACTCTTTATAGTTGGGACTCAATGAGCATAACCTGAAATAAATAGAATAATAATAGTACTTTCCATATACCAGCACTAGGCTAAGTGCTCTACATGTATCAACTAATGTAATCCACATACCTTTATAGTAGGAACTATTATTACCTTTTCTACAAATGGGGGAAACAACTTTCAGACACTAGCTAAGAGCATTGAATAAGTAAGTGGAGGTGTCTGGATTCAAACACGGTTTTGTTTGACTCCATAGCCCACACATTTATTCTCACACCACCTCTCCTCATTACCCAAGTTCCTCATAGCTCTTCCATTTAAGTAAGAAAGGATGATTTCCCCTACCTCTTGTTCCAATTCCCTCCAAGCCTTAGTCTACTCTACATAAGCAGCAGGGACGCTATGTACAGCTTAAAGGATATAATCAAAGACTCCCTGCTTAGACTAAATAAAGTTGAATCCAAAAAGCCCCATGTGCACTTCCCTCTATGCAAGATTCTCCTTTCTGCAATCAGAGAATATACACATCAATACTTAAATTTAACATATAAAATTAAAACACTCGCAGGCTTTGAATGGCACTGAGATTCAGAACGTGCTGGGCTAAGGAAAGAAAGTAATTACAGCCATAATATTTGAACATAACAATCTTAACACTGTCCCAAGTGAAAAAGACCTGGGATAATGTGGAGTCTGAATGGAAGTATAACAATCCAAGGGTCAAATGTGGAACAGTATTAGGATATTACTTTCTAAATTCATTCATTTTGTTCACTTCAATTATTTTTCTGGTTCTAGGAATGTTTTACAGCATTGGCTTTTTAAAAAATATTCAAAGCACCTTTTATAGTTCTAGTCATATTGATCTAGTATCCTAAATTTAGATCTGGATAATACATTAGAAATGTAATTAAACCCAAATATACAAAATAAAACATGGAAAATTCAAATGATTAAAAATTTTTTACAGTGCCACAAAATAGTTATCGAAAAGCCAATACAAAAAATAGGCTCTGGGTACGTCTACATTTTTTTAAAACTTTGCCTTTTCTCGTAAAATATTTTGAGGTGGAGATAATAATTGTAACACAAGCCTTAAAAATGCAAATAAGCCTGGCTGGTGTGGCTCAGTGGATTGAGTGTTGTCCCATGGAATGAGAGGTCCCAGTTAGATTCCTGGTCAGGGCACATGTCCAGGTTGTGGGCTCGATCCCCAGTGAGGGGTGTGCAGGGGGCAGCCGATCAATGTTTCTCTCTCACGTGATGTTTCTATCTCTCTCTTAATAAAGATTAACTATTCTATACAGTAAAACAAATGAGTAGTGATTGTTAATGCCTCCCTGTCTTTGCTTCCATTATGAACAGAAGAATAATAACATCTGACAATGCCTGACATGATGGACAGGCTCATGTGGAAGAATCCCACAAAGACTGGTTGTATTAACAGGTTAACTTAAGAAATGACTGGATCCAA